AGGATGTGTGTGGGTTATATGCAAATTCGAGATGGTTTTATCATCAGGGATGAGCTCCATGGATTTTGGTATCCATGGGGGTCCCGGAACTAATCTTCAACAAAGACTGAAGCAAAACTGGACTTACAATACAGTAGGAGAAACTATTATGTATGTTCAGGGAGCTATAGCAGCACAGAGAAGGGAACTCCTAACTCTACTGGGTTCTAAAAGCAAGCAGAGTTTAAAAGCTTCTCAGAGGACATAAAATCTGACAGGCATTTTGAAGGTTAACTAGGCATTCCCCAGGAGAAAAAGGAAATTAAAGCTGTGTAGAAATACAAATGACACTTTACCCCCATGGTCATTATGGATAAGCAAGAAAATAAAGCACAAAGAAATAAAAAAAAAATTGTATACTGAGATAAAAAAACAAGGTTATCCTACTAAGTCATAGGTCTTGAAATAAATGAAAACTTGGGACCCTAGGCTCAGTGCCTGTAGCTCAGTGGCTAAGGCACCAGCCACATGCACCAGAGCTGGTAGGTTCAAATCCAGACTGGGCCTGCCAAACAACAATGACAACTACAACTAAAAAAAATAGCTGGACGTTGTGGCGGATGCCTGCATTCCAGCTGCTTGAGAGGCTGAGGCAGGAGAATCACTTAAGCTCAGGAATTTGAGGTTGCTGTGAGCTGTGATGCCATGGCACTCTACCAAGGACGACAAAAAAAAAAAAAAAGAAAGAAAGAAAAGAAAAAGAGAAAGAAAACTTGGAGCTGACTTCTTAATAAAAAGTACTTTTTAGATTTTTGCAATGATGATGGTTGAAGGTAAGTGATGCCCTTCATGGATACAATATGTGCGAAAACTGCTATTTCTACCATGACCACAAAAACAGTAAACCCAGAAAACTCAGTAATGTAATGGGGGTCTTTTCCTTAAAATACCTGTTTTATTTTTTAATACGAGGAACCAACCTTTCTAAAGCCTGGACTCCTTATAAATCTTCCTTGCAAGTGAAGTTCTTTTTCTTGTCTAAATGTTTTTGCCTCCCTTGGCAGGGCTTTCCAGGCAGAGAGAAGTAAATGCATAACACTGCAGAGGTCTAATCAGAACATGGCATTTTTAGGACTGTAAAAATTCTACTTATTTGAAATGGTACATAGAGAAGAAATAAGGAGTGGTAAGATAAAGCTAATAATGTAGAAGGTAAAAGGCTTCTTTTTGTGTATATTTTAATAACAAGTGTGCATGCCTTTTCTATCAGCTCAGTGTTTCTTATGAGATCCAAGAATGATGTATTTCAAGGGACTTATAAAGTTTTGTATGTAAAACTTTAAATTTAACTCTTTCAATTCCACAATAAAGACCAATAAATAGTTATTTTCTGGATCATCTGGATGATTTCCTTTTAACCTAAACTGCCATTTAACTTTAGCACCCAAGTTTGGAGTGTGTGTGCTTAAAATCCTGCCAGTCATCACCAATCGCCTAGATTGACAACACTTTACTCCTAAGTGCTAAGCAGCAAATCTATAGGAACACTAAGATTGGGGTGTCTGATCATCAAAATGACAGCAATTGACCTACATATTCCATCATATTCACAATGAATTCTTTTAGCAGTTACAAAAAAATTTCTTCTTTTTTGCAATGAGAAGTCTCAACTTATTTGATAAAAGTCTAAGTTATTTAATGAATTGTCTTAAATGGACATCAGTGAAAAAGGCATGGTGCAGCACAATAATGTAACCCCTTATGTGCTGTAGGCCAATAGACCATAATAGGTATATACGTACCACATCAACACCAATGTCATAGGGTACTATATGCAAGATTTAGAGCAATTTCAAAAGAAAAAGAGGAAAGCTGAGTTATCACAGAACACAGGGTAGTACAGACCTGCTAAAGCACCTGTGCTATTAATCAGTACTACATTTACCTTGCAAGCAGAAAATTATTTTAGAGGAAATTTTTATTTTTTTGACAGAGTCTCACTATGTCACCTTCAGTAGAGTGCCATGACATCACAGCTCACAGCAACCTCAAAGTCTCGGGCTTAAACGATTCCTTGCCTCAGCTTCCCAAGTAGCTGGGACTACAGGCACCCGCCACTACAGGCACCTGCCACAATGCCCAGCTATTTTTTGGTTGCAGTTGTCACTGTTGTTTTCCAGGTTGGCAGGACTAGGCCGGGCTTGAACCTGTAGCCTCAGTGTATGTGGCTGGCGCCCTACTCACTGAGCTACGGGTGCCTAGTCTAGAAAATTTTGTTATATAGAAATAATGCTCTATGGTTTGGCACCATGGTCCAGGCCTGTAATTGTAACATGCAGAAGGATCACTTGAAGTCAAGAGTTCTAGACCAGCCTAAGCAAGAGCAAGACCCCTGTCTTTATAAAAAGCAGAAAAACTAGCTGGGTGTGGTGGCACACACCTGTAGTTACAGCTATTCAAGAGGCTAAGGCGGGAGGAAAACTTGAGCCCAGGAGTTTGAGGTTGCAGTGAGCTATGATAACACCACTGCACTCTAGCCTATGGACTAGAGCAGCGGTTCACAACCTGTGGGTCACAACCCTTTTGTAACAATGAAAATACATTGCAGCATTAGGAAGGTTGAGAACCACTGGACTAGAGTATAACCTCAGTACTTTTTTTTTTTTTTTACCTATGTTATGCCCACAAGTCTGACATTTCAAACTGTCCGGGTTCAGAGGCCAGACTACCTCTCCACCTTTACAGATAGTTCCCACCTTAAAATAGTTGGACTAATAATCTCTGGATTTAAAGCAGTACAAAATTTATACACGTTCAGTAGAATCCATATTTCTGACAGCCATAAACCATTCTGCTTTTTTACTTTCAGTATAGCATTCAAAAAAACGTGAGATAGCCAACACTTTAGTATAAAATAGGCTCTTTGTTACAAGATTTTGCCCAACTGTAGGCTAATGTAAATGTTCTGAGGGTGTTTCAGGTAGGCAAGGCTAAGCTACGGTATTTGGCAGACTAGGTGTGTTAAATACATGCTCACTCACAATATCTCCGGCTTACAATAGGTTACAAGGGTAGCCCAACGTTTTTTCTTCTCTGTTGCAAACTGGAAGAAGAGGAGTTGCTTTGGGCCACACGTTAAATACATAAACACTAACAACAGCTAATGAGCAAAAGAACAGGTCTGTGATATCCCACACCAGACAAGCAAAATAGGCCTCAAATAATCAGCATGAGGCCCCCAGGCCACAGGGTGGACACCCCTGGCAGAACATAACCCCATCTTAAGTTGAAAGCTAAGAAGCATCTGTGTAATTTTAGTGATTCTCTTTCAGAGATCATGTGTTCCACTCCAAGTGATTATTTTTTTAAAAAATTTTTAAAGAAAAAAATTATTTTCTAAGTGAACAGAGGGCTATTTTGACTGTTTAAAAGACCTATCTTTTCCTAGCCTCAATTTCTCGAATTTTTTTTGTCTTTCAAAAGACAATGGAGCCCCCAAAAGAGTCTTCCTTCCCAGATGCATGCACCAAGTGTGAATCTGCACTTTTCTGGACCCCAGCTGTACCCTTTTATGGAGTTTGCCACATTCTGCCTCCCACACAATTGTCTGTACAGTAATTTTAACTCCCTTACTTTTATGAAAACAGGACTTTATCCTCATTCATTTATAATAAATGGAGTCAATTACATAAAACTTTCTCAATTAATATTTACCACAGCAAAATAAAACCAGTATGTATCTACCCTTTAATTAAAAATATACTAGACTAGCATGTCCTTACTAAGTTATTTATAATGGAGACCAAATACAGTTGTAATCCTTCTTCATAGCAACAAGCTGTCATGTCTCACTCTTGCTAAATATCATCAACTCATTTTAAAAGTAAAAAGTACAGAACAGGATTAAGCTCAATATAGATTGATCTTTTTAAATTATAACTTTAAATAACAGAGAAACTGGGAAGAGAGTACAGTAGTAGATTAAGAATTGGGTGGGGGCTCGGCGCCTGTGGCTCAAGTGGCTAAGGCGCCAGCCACATACACCTAAGGTGGCAGGTTCGAATCCCCAGCC